TGCATTTATGATGCAAAATTTAGTCATTAATTATTAAAATTGATATTAAATAAAAAAGATATTTATATAATTACAACACAAATATTTTAACAAAAATTTTGTCACAAAAAAATAATATATAAATTTATTACAAAATTTTAATAAAAAATATTATTATTTCAATACTAATCAATTTTGATTAAAATGAATCAAACCTGATTAAAATTAATCAAGTCCGATTAAAATTAATCAACCCCAATTAAAATTAATCAGGTCCAAACTAATCTTAAAGTTTTATTGAGTTTTACATGTTTTATATTGCAAAAATTTATTTTTTTAAATATTTTTTATCGATGTGGGATATATTTATAATGCAAAACCTTATTCTCTTATATGTTTTTTATCGATGTGGGATGCATTGATTAGAGAAAATTGATAGTTTTTAGTGACAAAATATATTTTTTAGTGATAAATTATTTGGTCATCATTGAATGTGTAAGGTATATGTGATCAATATTAGAATTTTGTCATAATTGTAATGCATTACAGTGATGATTTTTATTGACAAAAACTTATTTTATCTTTATGAACATTTTTTGATGACAAAATATATTTTTTATGATGAATTTTTTTATTCATAATTAAATATATATGCATCAATGACTAATTTTTTAGATCTGTCACAATTATGATAAGTTATAGTGATGATTTTAAAATTCATCACAAATTTCTATCATTAAAAATCATTTTTCTTGTAGTGAACCAACCACCACCTCAACAACCACCGCTAAACGCTGGCACCACTGTTTGTACGGACAAGGAGTGAGAGGGGATTGTTGGCGGTGCAAATCTGCTAATTTTGGGGCTTTCAGGTGATGTGTTTCCAATTGTCAGCATTGCCCCGTGGGTGGGGCCTTGGGAAGACTAATTGGGTAGGAGATGGCCACGTGGATCTTTTTTTTTTGGATAAGGGGGTGAGTGGTCATGACAATAATTTCATTTTTTTAATAAAAATAAAATAAAATTACAGTGTTGTGGTGTGGGGTTTTTCATTTTTATTTTCTTGGTCAAGGTCAGTCGTCAGATTGGTTATTTATTTATTTTATTTTTAAATCAGTTATTAATTGGTAGGGTGGGGGTTGCATAAAGACGGTGGTGAGATTGATATTGTTAGGGGATTAACCACCAACACAAAGTTGTGGTTAATACTTAACATCCCATTATTGTTTTTTTTTAACATTTTAACCATGAGACCGGCTCAAATTGTTGTTCTTGAAGAGGGAGATATGAACCTTATAAGAGTGATTAAAGTCACTTGACCTATAAGATCAGGTTCAATATCCCATTATTGTTTGACAAAAATTTATAAAAAAATTCTTATAAATCCTATGTCAGCGTTGTCTTATTATTATTATTATTATTTAATTTTAGTTGATTTAATTTTTAACTTAGAAA